GACCATACAATTGTAAACATGTCTGTTTCTGTCATTACAGGGGGAATATTTTTAAAAGGGACTTGATCTTACCCATATGTTATACAGTAGCATCCAGCACAATGTTGATTGAGCCTGAAATTCAAAAGACTGGAAAAAATAGGGAGTAGTTGCATTGCATGACATTGGAATGGGATTAAGGACTCGAAATGTAAATATCCTAAATAAAATAATAGATAAAAATTTGACAGAATATTTAAAAAGATATATCCTGATGCATAGAAACTATCCCATGGGTAAAGCAATGGCTCAACAGTAGAAAATCTGTCAAAATTATTGACCACACTAATGGACCAAAGGATTAAAAAAATCATGACTTTTTTCTTTTAATTTTATTTTCTTTGGTAGTATGGGGTTTGAACTCAGAGCTCCATGGATGCTAGGGCAGGTGCTCTACCACTTGAGCCACTCTGCCAGCAACTTTTTTCTTTATACTTAATAGGCAAACATGATATAAGAGCATTAAGATCAAGACTAAGTCGTGAATGCTCATTACCTACCGGCACAAGTGTTTCCTAGAGTATGGAAGTCAGGTCAATTCTTTACGACCAGAAAGGGTGAGAGAAGTATGTGAGAATGGAAGAGTGAGAGGCCCACCAGTCACTGCTTGCCAGTGCTGTGATGGTCTGTATGGAAAACAAAACGATATCAGCAGGCAAGCTGTGGGAACTTTTAAGATTTTTGCTTTATTTTGTGGGGCTGCAGATTGAACTCAGGGTCTCAAGCATGATGGGCAAGTGCTCTACCACTGAGCTACACCCATGCCCACTAGTGGAAATTTTAAGAGTAATTAGGAATGTTTGCAAGAATAGAAAGCATCTCACAAAGATCAACAGTGTTCTAGGCCAACCACCTTCAAAATGTAATAAAAGACTGAGGATATGGTTTGCCTAGCATGTGTAAGTTTGATCCTCGACCCCCTCACCAAAAAAAAGTAATAAAAATATACTACCTACAATAGCAACTAAACTGTAGTAACTATTTTCCATTTTGCAGACCATATGGTCTTTGCTGTAGCTACTTAATCTGTCATCCTACAAAAGCAGCCATAGGCAATATTTAAATGAATGAATGCTGGCTTGTTCCCAATAAAGCCTCAATTACAAAAGCTGATAGCAGGCTGACATGCATGAGTCTAATTTGCTGACTACTTGTCTATAGTAATTAGCCTAAGCCTTAGCATTGCCTAAGAACTTTATTAAGAAAAAAAAAATCTGAACTCTCTTTTGCACATAAGACCTGAATGAAGCATCTACCTGGGATGACCTCAACAAAGTGAAGAGTTCGTTGATTTGTTTAACAAACACCCAGAGCACCTACCATGGGCCAGTCACTGCTGTGGGTGCTAGGGATAAAGTGAAGAGCAAAACAAAACACCTGCCCTCAAAAATCTCACGTTTTATTAGAGAAGCAGTAAATTAATAAAGACAGATAGTAATGAATGCTATGAAAAAATTTAGTATGATTCAGGGATGGAGAGCAGAGAATGGTCAGGGAAGATTCCTCTGACATTTCAGCAGAGAGCTGAAGGAGCCAGCCACGTTGAATTCTGGGAAGAGAGTGCTACAGGCAAAGGTGTCAGTTCTCTCCCAAAATAATCTATATGTCCTGTGAAATTCTGGTAAAACTTACTCTGAACTGAATGTGAAAGAATAAAGGTTTGTGAAAGCTAAGTCTATTTTGAGGGGAAAAGCAAAGCAGGGGACCTGCCGGACTGGAAGAACTGGCTCTACCACAAAGTCACACTAATAACATCATGTTGATGGCATTTAAAAAAGAAAAGGCCAATGGAACAGAATGGAGGGCTAGGATAAAACATATACACAGGAACTTAGTCTTTGATAAAGGCGACACCACAAAGCACTAGGTTGTTTTTCAGACAGTGACAGAAATTCACTGTAGTGAGAAGAAAGCTGAACTTTTATTTAAGCCATCTTGTACATGGATTTAAGTAAAAGCTAAAATCTTACACTAATATAAGAAAATGTAGGAACACTCATGCTACCAAGGGGTAAATAAAGACTTCATAAACAAGATTCCAAGCCACCGTGGTGCACACCTGTAATCCCAGCTACTCCAGAGGTGGAAACAGAGGATCTCCAGTTCCAGGCCAATCCTGGCTACACATGGAGACTGGAGACCACCTCCAAAAACAAGATTCCAAAAATAAAGTCAAAATTTAGGACATCTGAAGGAGTGTGGCTCAGTGGTAGAGTACTTGGCTAGCATGTGTGAAGTCCTGGGTTTGATCCCAATATGCAAAACAAACCAAAACCCCAACAAAATTTAGGAAAGATACTTAAAACAAAGTATTAAGTCTCTAATGTATAAAAATACTGGAAATCACTAAAAAATCAAATAGAAAAATGGGAAAAAGAAATCAACAATCTAAATTCTAAAAAGACTCACATTCCTTTTTTTTTTTTTTGTGGTACTGGGGTTTGAACTCAGGGCTTTACACTTGCTAGGTGTAGGCCCCAAAGTGACCACGCGGAGAGGAGTGATCTGGCCAAGAGATTATTGCCAGGTGGGAGGGGGGGGCGGCAGAGGCTTAAATACCCCTCAGTGAGACCCGGCATGATCTGCTTGGTTAGGATCTTATGGTTCATGCTGATTGGAGGTTGGGGCAGAAGGAGGATTCAAGCTAGACTTGAAGCAGGACAGTGACCCTGGGAAACAGAAGCTTAAGGGTGCAGTAAGAACCAAAACCTATTGGTGCCATTATTGCCAATACTAGGTAGGTGCTCTACTACTTGAACACTCCACCAGCAAGATTCACATTCTAAAAAGTCCATACATGGTCATATACAAAAAAAGCAAATAGTAAAAGGCTCAAATTTACCTATAGTCAGCGAAACGCAAATCAAAATAACCAAAAGGAAAGGTAGACGTTGTGGCACACATAAATAATACCAATACTGGGGAGACTGAGGCAGGAGGATCATAAGTTCCAGGCCAGTCTGGCAAAGACTAGAAAAATGAACTACACCGAGAACCGGTGAGAATGTGGAACGAGCTCTCTACACTGGCACCAGGAGCAACAGGAACAATAATGGCACAGCGATTCAGCAAAGTGATGTGGTAATATTGGGCAAAATCTTGCAAGCCTGTAGCTACATAGCCCAGAGGGATTTTCACACCAGCCTACAAATTTGCTTATTTTTATTCTTCATAGTAGTAAAGAGTTAAAGGCAATCTAGATTTCCATCATCAAGAGATTTGAATGAGTAATGTGGTCAACAAAGGGCTGAAAGTGTAGCTCAAATGGTAGAGTGCCTGCCGAGCAAGCACAAGACCTGAGTTCAAACCCCAGTGCTGCCAAAAATAATAATAACTTACTAGTGCTGACTTTGGACAACAGAAATAGAACATCTAAGTAACCCCTCTATTCCTCACTCTCATCTACAAAATTAGATCAGTAATATGAAGATCACGGGACGTGGTGAATGAGCTGAAACATTTAAATCAAAGTTAAACACTATTTAAACATTACTATTACTATCATTAATATGAAAGTAAATGCAAGCAGGAAGTTACGGCTAGACTTACTTAAAGTAATAAGAAGATATCACAAAGAACAATGCAAATTTTTAATAGAAATGGTGGGCTAGGGATGCAGCTCAGGGTAGGGCGCTTGCATGCGTGAGACCCCTGGGTTTGATCCCCAGCATCACACAAAAATAAGCGTAAGAAACAAAATGCATAGCATTTATGTGAATTTGACATACCCACTTTGCTACTTACTTTATGACAGTCATCACAAACATACATCAAACATATCAGAGTGGATGTCTATGGGAGAGAGGGAAGAAGAGTAGAATTGAGGAACACAGAGGAAGAACACAAAATGAAGAGCATTACCTGAATCATAATGGGAAAATGCTGAGAAAGGAGGATTAAGATTTATCTAGTTCTGCAAGCTACAGTTTTGAGGGATGCAGTGGGGGAAATTATCTTGCAAATATGCAAGGGAAAACCAGGATTATCCCACAGCTGGTGAGCCATTCCGTCTGGGAACTTAAGGAAAAATAATCCTTACTGTTTAATGCACTTTTGGAGGGTTCTTTGTTACTTGCAGCACAAAGCATCTCAACAAAGGATGCTTTATTTCTTAATTTTTTTTTTTTAAGACAGGGTCTTGCTGTGCTGCACAAGCTGTCTCAAACTCCTGGACTCCAGTGATCCTCCCACCTCAGACTCCCTAGTAGCTGATGCTCCCGGTGTGGACAACTATGTCCAGCTTGATGCTTTGTTCATATTATCTTTTTTGTAGTGCTGGGTATTGAACACAGGCCCTTGTACATGCTAGTCGATCTACCATTGCACTTTCCCCAGTTCTCATGTGATCTGTGGGGTGACAAATTTAGATCTGAAGTGAATTATGAGTTGTTCAATGCAGCTTAACTGGAAAGATAATTAAGCTTAGGTTACAGAAAAAAATGAAAAATTTGAACAACTTACAAGCTTTAGCAAAACAAAATCTCTTCAGGATATTAAAAATTCTTAAATATTGGGCTGGCCAAGTGGCTCAAGCAGTAAGAGTGTCTGCCTAGCAAGCCTGAGGCCAAGTTCAAACCCAGTACCACCAAAAAAAAAAAAACAACCAAGAATTGTCCATTTTTCCCCTTTTTTCTCCAATTGGCAATGAATCTATCCCAGGTTCACATGGTAAGAGAGTGAGGGTGAGAAAGTCTCTTTATAATTTTTATTACCATACAACACAAGCTCACAGACTCTTTGTTACAAACCTTATAAGCAAACAGTGGAACAATTATAAGACTGCCTTTTTTTAGAAAAAATTATTATTTTTTATTGTTGTTGTGCTGGGGGTACATTGTGACATTTACAAAAAGTTCTTACAATATATAAAATAGCTCATATTTGAATTCACCCCCTCCATCACTCTTTTATCTCCCCTCCCTCCATCTTTATTTACTTAATTTTTTTTAAACACAGGGTCTTACTATGTAGCCCAGGCTGACCTCAAACTCATGATCCTCCAGCCTCAGCCTCCTGAGTGCTGGGATTACAAGAATGCACACCATGCCTAGACAATTAGGAGACTTTTCTTTCCAAAAGCTAATTTATTCCAGTTCCACACTCTTTGCACAGAGGGATTACACAAATTCTCCATGTTAACTTGAGTGTTTAATTTAAAAAGGCTGTCACAAACATGAAATCACCATATGAAAAAAACAGTGCAAAGAACCAACTAAATTGTCACTGTCCTTCTTGAAGGAAGGCTGACTGGCTTTTTTTTTTTGGTGGGACTGGAGTTTGAACTCAGGGCCTCATGCTTGTTAAGCAGGTGCTCTACCAAGTGAGTCACTCTGCCAGCCCGAAATGGGGCATTTATAAAATCTTTTTGTAACAGGCTTAGACAGGTCTCAAAGATAGACCAACCCTCGTAGTCACATGAGTCTTTTGGGGTCTATTTTCTCTAGATGAACCAGAGGTTTCAGCTGCTCAGCAAAGTTCCTCATGTCGTCGGAGACCACGTCCTGTCCGCCTGGTGCAACGACACTTAATTCCACCAAATAGGACAGTGACAAGGCCTCAGTGCTGTCTGTGTTCCCTGGCACCAGAATTCGGAAAATCTTGTACACCATAATCTTCATAATGCCTTTACGGAACAAGTGTCCCTTGGCGACAAACTCATGGTCCATGCGGAAGCCCATTTCCATCAAGAAGTCGGTGAGGTTCTCAGATGTGGCAATGTCCACGCAGTTTCTCACGAGAGCATGGCGGTTCTTGTCTCCCATTTCAGGCTGTCCC